GGGGGGGAGTGAAGAAGTGATGAGTTAATGACATTTTTAATTTATTTTCTTGGAGATGGAGGTGCTCGCGTGTGCAGTGTGTGTATGATTGGGGGTGGGTGGGGGGGACTGAATTCACCAGCGCTCAGGGGGGGTACTGTGCTGTCCATCGCCTTATTTCGTTGTTTAGGGGCAGGCCCTCTGCGTTTCGGATCGATATACACACACGTACGAGATGCGTGTGATTGTCGTAGGCATCACTGAATGAGGAATGCATGGGGCTGGCTTCCATAACGACAGCACTAAGGGAACGTGTACTTGCACTAAAAATCCATTTAAAATACTTGATTCCATGAGTCAGTTTATTTTTTTTCTTTTCGGTTTCTGTAAAATAAGCCTTTTTTGTATTTATTGTTGAGTAATTGAATTAAGCTATTTTTAAAATCGACGTAAACGTGAGCAGGAAGTCGATCTGCCACTGGTGTGCCTGCAGGGTCCTTACACCCTGTGATTCCTGTACAAAGTGTAAATATTTGAAAAGTCTAAAACTGTCTAAAGAACATATAGAAATTATTGACCAAATGCTACCTTAACTTCACAGCTGTTTGGATGATGTATTTGTGTTTTTTTTTTTTTTTTTGGAGAAATTATTTAAAGGATGTCATAATTTCTTTGAGAGTATATATACAAACACTGTATAAATATGTACAGAATATGTAAGTAAAAAAAAAAAAAATCAGAAGTATTTTTGTTGTATCTAGAATTTAGTATTGTTGTGATCAGAGTTTTTTTTTGACCACTTAAATGATTTTCCCTTAAGGTCGAATAAGATTGTTTGGCCTTTGTATTATGAATTGATTCAGGCCAATCAGGAAGAAATCAGTGACATCCTTACTGTTAATCAGGTTTGCGTTTAGAACTAGTGATAACTGTGAATTATGATTTTTTTTTTTTTTTTTAAATGAAATCTCCCAGATGGTAAATCTTTTTTTAACTTGTAGTCATCAATAGTCTTTTGTTAACATCCAGATCATACAGATGAAAGCAACGTGTCATTCAGTGGCTGCTTGGAAAGCAAGCTTAGCTAACAGGTTTCTGAAGTTTGATTTAAAGATTTAAAAGCAGAACAGTGTGTGTTTTTTCCCCTTTTATTTCGTTTACATCTAAGGAAAACACCAGTTTGTCATAACTTCTTGACTAGACAGTGCAGAACAGTCTATTTGCAAATTCTGGTACTGACAATTTATAAACCAGTTTGACATGAAGAGAACTTTTTGTTTGTGCACAACTTCAGTGGCTTGTACAACAGTTGGTATATTTAGACAGTCTTGAACTAAATATCGCATGATGTATTTTTAACTTTCAGAAGAATCAATTGTGTATATATATTTTCCTGAGATAGCTGTAATTGTTTCTTGGATATATTTTTTCTTCTTGTATGATATTCCAACCTCTTACCAGTATTTTGTCCTCTTTAGTAGTAGAATGTTCCGTTTAAAAAAAAAAAAACAAGCCTTTTTTTTGAAGTATAAAGAGTGTGTATTGGGGTTTGGAGTTTGTGAAACCAGATTTAGAAGCATTTACAAAAAATAAATATTTTACATAACTGTGTTACTCCCCGTTTGTCCATGACTTAAGTGTCAGGTGTACAAGTGAAGAACAATCTTCAGTCTTGCCACCATATTAGTTTCATTTAGAGGCGATATACTGTTAACTTACTATAGGTAACGCCAACCACATGTATTTGCCAGTATTTCTCAGCCCAGCCATCAGGGACTCCAGCCGGTCCACATTTTTCACACAGTCTCTTGCCTAGTTCCCAGCACACCTGTACCTGGTATTCATTGTTCTTGATTGGTTCCTAGCTATGAATGGAGCAATGGGTATGGACTGTGTGGAGAAACACCACAGTACAGGTTTAAACAGTGGGCTTGTTTTGGCTACACTTTGTCTTTTGAAAATGACTGTGTAATAGAACACTCAATCCACACCTCTGTCAGCCAAAATGCACAGGCAGTTATGTTCAGTTAAAATCTTTATTTTTCTGGGTTTACAAGATGATCTGAATGTACCTGCACAAACCTGATACATTCACACTTATGGAGACTAATACTGCATGTCACTTTGTTACAAAAAAAAATGTTTCACGCTCAAAACGTCTCGTTAAAATCTTAGCATGTGAAATCCCACAAACCCTCACCAAGCTATACACTCATTACACAGAGTAACAGTTCTCTACCATTAATGGACATCGGAGTCATTCTAATTAATGGTGACACATTAAAAGCATTAATTTCCAAAACCTCTAAAACTTGACACTTCATAAAAAATTAACCAATGCCCATAAAAAAAGAGGAGTTTATTTGGCATCAAATGAATGATCTATCGCGTTTTTAAAGCCATGCCTTAGGATAACACCTTTTCAGTCGGGGAGAAAAACCTGAAAATCTTTATGTGCTAAATTATAAAATTCAGGCTTTATAGGATTTTAAAAATTAAAACTACAAAATTAAGACAGGCCACACACGAGAGCTTTACGGTCAGCTGACATCTACGGACTTGTTGGAAGGAGCCCCCCCTACAGAGGTCCCCAGGCCTGCACAAAATGCTGCACCAGTGAGCGGCTATCAATTACGACCCCCCCCACACACACACACAGTTCCTGTTCCTGCCATAGCTCAGTCTTCCAGTTGCCACTGCTGGGACTCTGAGCCGTTGCATATCGCCATGGCAACGTAGCCTTTATGGCTGAGGGGGTCGACCGCGGCGAGACACTGGCCAACAGAAACCTGGTACAGGCGGTTGCTCTTCTGGAAGGTAAAAGAAAACACAGGTAGTGCACGTTTCAACAGTTGGTGTTTGGAAGATGGAGGGCTGGAGTGGGCGGTGCCCACGGCCACTTACCCCCAGAGTCCACTGCTGCGAGCCCCCCGAGCCGTGACACTTCATGAGCCGTGGCGGGTCCGAGGAGCGCACCTCAGACACGTCCAGGCACAGGAGGCCTGCCAGGATCAGCTCCTGCTCCTCATCATACGCCCACTCCTGTGGGCGGTGGCAGAGGTGTGGCGTCACAAGTTGGCGGGACAGTTTCCATGGCAACACGTACAAAAGGCCATAAGGATGCAGGGCACTACCTGCTCAGGGTCGCTGGGGTGACAGTCCCTCAAGACCACAATTCCCCCCTTCTGACTGGGTCGGCCCTGGGCCACCAGACACTTATTGGCCTGCAAGTTTCGGAGCTGGAGACAGGAGGGTGGGGGGAGGCTGGATCAACACTCCGAATAAGAAGGGAAGCCAGATGAACAGCAGCTTCAACGTCTATACTGAGAAATGATCACATTAAACATTGTCAGCATGTTTTATCCTGATACTGCAGGTCAGTGGGAGGACCCAGAGCTGTTAATCATAGTATAAATGCCTCCTGATTGGCCGGTTGGGCCAGGCACATCTGCATGGTGCTCGTTAGGGGTTACACTCTAAGGGCTTGGTGACACTGAATTGCAATGAATTGTTATAATTTCAAGATTAATTATATTTCATTTGTGCTGCTCAACTGAATGGCTCTATTCCTTGAATCCCACAGGCAGGATGAACATTAATGCAATCTGGTTACTGCCAGTACATGCATCTGTAGCAAAGGGGCTTCTTTTAAGTACTTTAATCTTTTCTAAAACATTTAAAATGTTTCTGACCATTTAGGCTATTTTTGACCATATGGCTATTTCTGTTATTGATCCTTCTGGTCTGTAATTGCCCTACCCAGGCACGCATACAAAAGATCCCTAACCAGTTAATGCCAAATAAATGCTGAAAATTATTGAACCTGGTTGGTGTGTGCCACACTGCCACCTGCTGTTCATATTCATAAAGCATTATTGATCTTCTGCTGGACACCCCTTAGATCAGCGGTCACTAACAGGCGGACCGCGGTCCGGGTCCGGACCCAGAAGCTGTCCCATACGGACCCGGACCGACAGCCAAAACATTTAGTTATTATTTAGAACCTGACGGTTTTTTTTTATTTTAACCGGCACAGCGTTTGTAGTCTTTTCGGTAGAGGTTTAGCAGTAAAACCGCCGTTTCCCACGCCAATGAACGTCAAACACCTTTGACCGCCACGCAAGACGTATTGTTCGGCGTATGCAGCCCTTTGTCTGCGCTAATGTGCCTTTCGTGTTAATCGCAGCAGCGAAGCTAACACCCGCAAACAAAAAGCGTAATGTTCCTAACAGAGTGGCTGCGCTCTCCTGAAATCGTAAAGCTGAAAAGTTTTCAAATACAATATGTATTATATAACACGTTGGATAAATAGACGTAGTTTATTGTTGATTTCATGTTCGTTGAAGTTTCTGCATTTTAATATATGTATAAAGTAATGTTATATAAACTCGTGAAACAAAAAATGTACGTTTTCAGGGTTGCCAAATCTCAAGCATCTGGCATGACACTCAGGCTTTAAGACTCATGCTGGAAATCTTATGGCAAATCTATATTATTCCATTATAAAACCAAAAATTAGCTACGTCGAAAGTGTATTTACACGGTTAAATACAAAAGCAGACTATTTACAAGGTAAGAACTGTTACATATGTGTGCAGACATCTCGAACTGAAAATCTCACTCCAGCCAGCTGGCATAAGTTCTATGTCTCGTGACAAATAATGTCAAAACGTTTTTGAATTGTACTGAATTAATTTGATTTGACAGTCAGGTACTGATTACATACAATGTTGATGCAACTAATAGGCTACTTAAATATATATCACACTATTAAATAGTTAGACATTATGATCTTCCGGACCTTTGCTTCAAGAATTTCTCTCTAACTGGACCTCTTTAAATTTTAGTTGAATACCCCTGCCTTAGATGCATCACTTAATTTAACAGGTTTTCATATCACAGGTGTTGTCTTGTGATTGGATGCAGGGACCCAAGGTTTCCGCACTGAGACATTACTGATTGGTCATGAAAGCCCTATCTGGATTTGTAAGCAATGGGCTAAACTTCGATACCAAGTCATGAACGTACAGACAATATTGGTGGGGGGGGGGGCATTGACAGAGGCTTTTGTCTTTATTTAAATGTAAATCAGTTCCAAAGGTTTTATGGCAGGAACCGTTGTGGGGGAAGCTATGGTGATATCATCAGCAGGTTCCTGTGGATGGACAGAGGTTGGATGCATGGACATTCTTCCACCCCAACAGGGGGCAGCCTTACCCGTCCCCGCTGCAGGACCTTGGGCCTCCTCAGGCCCTTGTTGAGGAAGACGGGCTGCTGGGCCTTGCCACGTGCCTCCGCCGCCTGCATCTCAGGGTACACGTGGTCCAGGTACCACTTGAAGGAGTGGCACCGCAGCCGCTGCCTCACGGACAGCCGCTCACTGATGTCGCCATAGCTACGGGTCCTCAGCTCTGGGCGCAGGGCAAAGTACTGTTCCTGATTGGCCGAAGGGACAAAGAAAGGAGTGATTCCTTAAACACGTGGTAGCCCTGATTCACTAAGCCCAGATTCATTCATGTCTATATTGAACAGCATTAATACACCCAGCACAACTCCCATAATTCCCATGAGCAGACGTCATTTCATCATTTGATCATTTCAAACCGACAACACGGTCAGTGGGGTTAAGGGCCTTAAGGGGGAAGCACTCAAAGCAGCACAAGGCTCTGCAGTAATGTATTACACTTAATATTTTTAGCCATTTTGCTAATCCTTCTTCCCAGTCAACTTAGACAGCAAAATTACATCACAGGTAGCTGCACTTAGTAACCCCTCTGGCAGGATTGTGTCTTCGTGGGTGCCGTGTTAGCCTGTGACTGGAAGTCAAGTTCACCCGTTAAATGCAGTATTGTATTAGCAGTCCTTGATATTTTATTTCTGCTTTACCAACCTTTGCCTCCTGAAAGCAGGCTGATGAAACAAGAACAGAAGGTTTGGGGTGAACAATCCCCCTCAGGCCAAATTAGACAGAGGGAGAGAGACCAAGAGCATTCCGTTCCTACATTAAGTGGGTTAGCTATTCCGGGTCTTGGGAAAGTAAATTAAACAAGCACCTTTCTGATGAAATAAAGGGCAGATGTGGTACGTGAAGTTTCAGCCAATCCCAATGTGCACCAGGCTCCACTCCCCTGCACCATCTAATGTGGCATAAACCTTGAGGGCGGAGCTTAACCTCCACCGGGTGTCTATTCCTATCCCCCATTCAGTCAGTGACCCACCAGTACCTTGTACTCATCCATCCACACGTGGGCCAGCCGTAGCGAGTTGTGCGCCATGGTGTCCTGACCACCAGGGGAGCCATAGGGCCGCCTCTTGCGGAAAATGTGTCCCACACGTGAGCAGGGGATGATCAGCAGCTGACCCCCACACATCCAGATCTGCGAGGAGCCGGCAACCAGGTCAGGACACAGAACAACCGACCCCCCCATTCCAAGCCCTCACGTCTGGCCTGGATTCTCAGACAGGTCCAGGTTTATCATGGGAAACCTAAACTGGACTAAGTGTACATTCACCACCCAAGGAATCCGCTTTTGCCGCTGGTGGTGTCTCTCCGGTCCCATTATACGCGAACACCGGCTGGGGAAGGAAGGACAGCGTCCTCCTTACCCTGAAGGAGATCTCCAGGTTCTCTCCACCCCAGATGTCCATGCCGCTGTCATACTGGCCCAGTTCGTTGAAATAATTCCTGTCCATCGCAAACAGACCTCCCGCCATTGTTGGAGACCTGCCAGAGTAATTCCAAACTGACGGTTAGCTGCTCCAGCCACAGAATTGGACGTTAGAAAATGGACATTAAATACAGGCGAACTGGACCACCTGTACCTGATGGGGGCGACAGCCCCGTCTGGGCTGTTTAGGTCTGATGGAGGTACGGGATCCCACTTGAAATGGAGGCCCCAGTTGAATCCCCCCCTCACAATGGGGGAGGGGCTGTAAACCAGCGTGTCGGCGCTAATGATGTCGATGACAGGGCACACGACCGTGCGCCGGTCCTCCTTGATGGGTGCCAGCAGCGGCTGCAGCCACATTTCGTTCACCTCACAGTGACTGTCCAGGAAGACCAGCACTTCCCCTGTTGCAGGACAATGCCAAATCCGTCCAATCAAAACTAGAGATGCCGCTTATTCTGGCCTATGACCACCACCAGCCGTTTGAACGTGGCAGATGGAGAGTCACCTGTGGCATGGGAGGCGCCGACCATCCGCCCCCTGATCAGACCCTCCCGCTTCTCGTTACGCACCAGCTTGACCTTCCCCTGCAGGTTCTGCTCGATGTAGGCATCCAGCTCCCCCTTCAGGTCAGCTGTGAAAGTACAAGATGGCAGGCCAGGGATGAACATTGTTGGGGCCACCCATGGGCATTAAATAAAAAAGTCAAATACTTTCTGGGACAGACACAGAAATCTAATCTCTCCTTCTCTTTCTCCTACTGAAGTCTTTTTATGACTAGTGTAGTTTCTGTCCCTAGCCATGCCGGGAAAGACACTTGCCCAGCTCGCTGTCGTCATCCACCAGTATGATCTCGTGCAGCAGGTATGCGGGGGTGCGGTCCAGCACGCTGTGCACAGTGCGCAGTAAGGCCGAGAGCGCCTCATTGAAGAAGCAGATCACCACACTGGCACTAGGCAGCGCAGGGGGGTACACCACCTCTTTGCACCTGTCGGTGGAGGGGTCAAAGGTCAATGTCCAGTTCCTCCCCCCCCCAATGAAGCACGACAATGTTAATACACTGAACATTTCTACTTGTTTTTTCCCTTTACTTAGGGCACTTTTCCACCGAACCAGGTACCGTACTTTCGGTACTTCCATAAAGTACCAAAAGTATGGTACTTCTTTTGTGTCCGTTTTCCACTGGTACCGGCACCAAATGACATCATCAGTGACTGCCCCTGACTGACATCATCACAAAGTGTGATGTGGTATTTCTTTTGCTGAATTCAAACATGTTATGATCCTTCACTTTCCTGTAGTCCTGCTTAAGTTTTTTGATTTTCAAACGGCATTGTTCGGTGTGTCACATGTGCCCCATTTCTTCCAAGGGGCTCGCTATTACGGCAAATACTTTTTTATTCCGAGTCGTGTCATCCAAATCCCACTGGATCTGTTCATCCGACCATATGGCGATTAAACCCTGTTTCCTAGTTTGTCCATCCTTCCGTTTTACTTTTTTTATATTTTTGTTTCTACTGCTTTTTATTTAGTTTCTCGCTGTGCACTGTGTATTTTGTGTTTCAGCGGCAGGCTATTTGCATAACCAATCGACAGCAAATACGTTTGCAAGTCCCACCCCAGAGTACCGAAGTACCAAAGAAGTACCCCAGCTGGTTTGGCACTTTTGGTACTGGTACTCGACCGGAAGTCAATGGAAAAGTGAAAGTACCGTACTTTGTGCGGTGGAAAAGTTCCCTTAGTTGGCATACTTCTTAGTACACTTCAACAGGCTAGGGGGCGCTGTCCTAGTTAAACTATATGGACAAAAGTATTGGGACACTTGGCCATTACACCTACAGGAGTTTTTATGATTCCCATTCTAAATCCATAGGAGTTGGTCCCCCCTTTGCAGCTATAACAGCTGCCACTCTTCTGGGAAGGCTTTCCACTACATTTTGAAGTGTGTCATTCATTTGCTCATTCATCTAGAACAGGGTTATTCAACTCACGGTCCTCGAGGTCCGAGCACTGCTGGTTTTCCAGCCTTCCTTTACCTGTCAGTCAGGTGTGAAGCCTCTGACCAATCAGAATCAGTAATTATTAAACTAACTACCTGGGAAAACTGAAAACAAAGCCTGGATTTGGAATCGAGGTCCAGATTTGAAGAACCCTGATCTAGAAGTACATTTGTGAGGTCAACCCCTGATGTTGGACTTGAAGGCCTGGCTCCCAATCTCCATTCTAGTGCGTCTGAATGGTTTTTGTTGGAATTGAGGTCAGGGCTCTATGCAGGCTAGTCAAGTTCTTCCACACCAAAACCCACCCAACCATGCCTTTATGGACCTTGATTTGTGCACTGGGGCACAGTCATGCTGGAACAGAAAAGGGTTTTCCCCAAAATGTTCCCACAAAGCTGGAAGCATAGAATTGTCCAAAATGTATTAATATGTTGAATCATTAAAAGTTCCCTTCACTGGAACTAAGGGACCTAGCCCAACATCTGAAAAGCAACCTCATACATCTATCCTCCACCAAACTATACAGTTCGCACAATGCACTCAGGCAGGTAATGTTCTCCTGGCATCCGCTAAACCCAGACTTGTCCATCAGACTGCCAAACGGAGTCGGTGATTTGTCACTCCACAAAACACATTTCTACTGCTTCAGAGTCCAGTGGTGACATGCTTTACACCACCCCATCCGACACTTTGCATTGTGCTTGGCGATGTGAGGCTGGCATGCAGTTGCTCGGCCATGGAAGCCCATTCCATGAAGCTCCGGGTGCACAGTTTTTGGGGTTAATGCCAGAGGAAGTTTGGAACTCTGCAGTTATTGAGTCAACAGAGCATTAGTGACTTTCACATACTATGCACCTCAGCACTTGGTGACCCGCTCCGTTACTTTAAATGGGCTACCACTTCATGGCTGAGTTTCTGTTGTTCAGCAATTGACCTTCCAGAATAGTGTGATCCCCCCCACTCACTTCCCGTTGCGGGTGTCGGGGAGGTCCCGGTGGTAGCCCAGGCGATTGCTGATCAGCATGTTGAAGGCATGCTTGTGGTAGCCCTCGTCCCGGACTTCCTGGTCCTGCTCATTGAAGATCATGCCTGACAGTGAGAAAAGCAGGTCGCCACACATGTGGTCACGTGGCCGCTTGGTGACAACCCCAACACATGCATCCCCCCCATTCACCTTTCCTAAGTAAAGTGATTTCTTCCCATGGCATTTTGGGATGTGACTGCATCAGACCACCTGGGGGATCCTGATAAACAGGGTTTTAATTTAGATTACAAAAAAAAAAAATTATTAAAAAAACACCTGCAGCTTTAATAAAGAGCAGCGGTTCTACTTCAGGCTAAAGCCTGAAACCAGCCCCAACACCCCAGGCTCAGATTCAAAGTGCCAGATGCTGATCCTAAATCAATGGAATTGATCCCAAGTCCCCACACTGCAGACATTGGATTACCATTATCAGCTGGGATCATTTAAGACTGATACAGATAGCGTTTCCAGATCACACACACGGATAAAAGGTACAACAGAAATGTCCCCCTAGGATTTAACCCTCACCTTAAACTTCATTAATGGATGAAACAGACTTGCAGTGTCAGTGCAGGTGCCAAACCCTTAAAAATGTAGTCAGACACCTACCCATCTCTGGTGAGAGCTCAGCTGTCCTCTGGTTGCCCGCTGGAGCCTTGCGGCGGTCATTGGGGCGAGGCTCATGCCCAGGCCAATGCGTGATACGGGGCTGGAATCGGTGCTGGGAGCCCCAGGGCCGGACCCCCGGAGCAGGGGCGCTCCCAAGGGCCAGGCCGTCATGGCTGAGGTTGAAGTAGACGAAGAGAAGGACGGACCAGGTGGCCGACGTGAAGAGGCAGCCGTAGCAGAAATAACGCAGTGTGACACTGCCCATGGTTGCCCTGGCATCGCTGGAGCGGCACGCTCAGGGCCCTGCGGGGGGAACCAAAGGGTCAGGGCTACCCACCATGGAGCAGAGGGGCGTTCGGGTATGAGAAGGTCGGTCTGGGACACGCAGCACAGTACCTCGTTTGTGCTACGATGGGGCCCCCTTAGTGCTGGCAGGGGGAATGGGGGGGCGGAGGCTGGGGGCTTTACAGCCTGGAAACCCCACATGTGGATCTACGGTGCCACAATCAGTCAGTCCACAGTGCTGGAGCGAAAACGCGGGCGGTGGACCAGAGGTGCCCCGGGGACGATGGTAAGCGATGGGCACATCTCTGGTCACGGCAGCACTCTTCCCAACATGCCCCACTTTTAAAACGCCCTCGTTAGCATCTCCAACCTCCCACCTGTCTCTTCAACTTTGTGCAAGTACCATTACCCCCCCCCCCACATCATGGCTACCGCTTCAGTCCCGGATGAAGTTCAAAATATTACTTCTCACTTGTAAAGCTCTGCATAACCTTGCTCCTCTCTACCTCAGTGAACTCTCTCTCTCTCTCTCACCCCCTAATAATCTCCTCGCTGATTCATGCACCAGACTGTCCACCATGGGAGGCAGGTCTTTCAGTGTCATGGCCCCCAAACAGTGGAACTCTCTTCCACGATCTCTCTGTGTCTGCTCTTCTTTCTCTTCCTTCAAATCTGAACTAAAAAGACATTTCTCTTCCATGAACATTTCTCTACTGTCTCTTCCTGATTCCTGTTTTTTTTTTGTTTCCTGTAAAGCGACCTTGGGATTATGAAAAGTGCTATAAGAATGTAACCTATAATCATTTTATTATTATTATTATGTTAAAATTTTTATTTCTGAGCTGACACCTCTTTAGTGGGACCCTGCAGATACCAAACAAGGAAGAAGCTCCCCTTCCAGACCCCTCTAATCACTTCTATCACATTACCATCCATCAGCTGATCGCCCCCTGTCACTTTAAAGCCGAATCCAATCAGCAGTGGCCGTCAGCCCTGGGCTTCCTCATAGCGTCCCGCACCTTGCATCATGTGGATGTTACATCACACTGCTCAGTTTCATCATCTTCTGCTGCTTGGAGATATCACGTGGAACGCGGGAAATGTGCTCTGGAGCATTAAGGCCCAGCGTGCTACTGGGGGGGGGGGGGGTTTCCGCTTTAGCGAGGCTGTAAACACCATGTTCATACTGACCCTGTGGGGCTGGTTTCACATCCTGCTTCTCTCCACAGGTTAGGAGACTGGAGCTGGGGTGCCACTGGAGACTGTGGCCCCCATAAATGCGTACCAATTGGATTGTTTGGAGGCCCCACATATGTTCCAAGTTTTTTAGGGACCCTGTCCCTCTGGGGCCCTTGGAATAGTCCTAATCCCCCCCCCCTTATGGCACCCTTGAACTGGAGCTCTATACTTCCTTAATGTCCAGTTTTTAAAAAGAAACCATCATACACACAGACCCCCTAACAAGAAAGAAAAAAGTAAAATTAGCCCCTCATCAGTATAGATCCCCCCCCCCCAGCTAACAGAAAGCTTTGTGGCGTGGCAGGGGCGCTTTCACTGTGGCAATAAGCAGGGGAGTTGTCAGAACCTGGCTGGGGGGGGGGGGGGGGGGGGGGGG